TGGTATATGTTTTTTCCTAATTTTTCCAGACTAGAGGCAGGCAAGTTGTGTGTTTAGAGTGACAATGCTCCACTTTCTTTCCCCTGCAGCAGAAAAGCTATTAAGAAGGAAGAGTGAATGAGTTCCCACATAATGGCCTTCCATTGTTCATGAAGGCCATGTCGAAAATCACTGGCCAGAGAGGTGCAGAGCCTCTGGGTTAGAGGAAAGGTGGGGAGAATGCCTTTGCAGAACATAGGAGAAACTTGGGCTGGCTCCTGTGGGGAACACAATGGAGGCTGTTAGGGACAAGCAAATGGATTGTGGAATAGGATCGTGGAACCAGTTTCAAGAGTAAAAATCTTAAATGTGTAACTTTGTGCAGAGTTCACAGGGACTGGATTTCCCCAGCCCTAGTTAGCAGGCAGGGCAGCAGAGAGTACAAGTGGGCCTTGTTGGGGAAGGTGATGTGGGAAGACAGCGGTGGGGTGAGCCTTCAGTAAGTCGGAGGATCTGTGAGTGATCAGCAAGATCTCCACGGGGCAGGGAGAACAGAGGTGGAGTGTGTGATCACACCCTCTCTCGGGGATAATGGAGAATTAACTCTTACTTATTCCCAACTATGAGACAAAGAATGTCCCCTCAACCAGGTTTTATAGTCATCATTTAAAGAGAAGAAAGATTGGTGAAGGAGAAGCCCAGCAGAATTCAAAGCTAAAAGAACTCAAAATGTTCACCTTTTCAAACTTTGATGTCTTTGTCCTTTGTACTAGCTCAGGGCAGAGTCTGATTGCATAAGCTGTGCCTCAGAATCTTCATATGGTCTTTAACTTACCCAGCCAGTCTGGTCAGCCCCACTAAGTAATTGCTATACCTCCAGTTGCCTTGATTAATGAAGCAACAGTCGAATCTTAACAGCCACAGTGTTAGGATAGGCCATCAATGAAATGATAACAAGGGACTGTACCCAAAAAAGATCCTTAGCTGTTCAGCCTTGTACATTTGTACTTACAAATCATGAACTAATGCTATAAAAGCTGAAATAAAGAAAAACCTGCTGCAAAAAATGTTATGAATCAATGTGAGTTGAAGATAAATCAGAGTGAAGAGAGGAGAACCATGCCTGCTCCTGACCCAGCAGCCATTGCTCAAGCGTTGGGAAGGTAGCCGCGTGGGGGCCCCTGAACCCCCATAAGCCCCCCCACCGCACTCTCAGACCTCCTGACTGTGCAAGTCTTCAGACCCACTCTGCAAAGACAGAGGTGGTCATCAAGGGTATTTCTCTGAGTTCCCAACTTTGAACATCTTTAAAGAAAGGGCGTGGGAAACCTGTAATAGAACGTTGCGGAGTTCAACCATTCAGAAGGATGGGGAACTCAATATGGGCCTTGCAGCCGGAGGTCAGTCAGCATCAGGGGTTTTACCAATCAGCTAACTGAGATCAGGGGTCTTGCATCCTCGCTCTGTCTGAGCCATTAAATGTTAAATATACTATATTGAAAAGTTTGTTCACTGCAGACATGTTCTGGACTGCTTCTTGATTTCAATTTAATTCAAATGATTTAAGGGTGATAGACTAGTGACTACCACAGGTGGTCAGTGTCCAAGTTGTGCTTGATCTTAATGTGTTGCTGATTGTATCAGTTGGGGTAAAGCATTGCTGCTGATTTGATGAGCTGTTTTCTCTGATGTTATGAAGATGAGAATGTCTGTGGGTCATTAGAGACACAGAAGCTAGGGTGCAACTATATCAGGAAGATTTGGGTAATAATCCAGAGATTAAACCAAGGACAGTCCGACAACAAAAATTAAAATGAGAAAACACTTAAGACACAAGGACAGACTTCCAGTTCACCAATGGCAAACAGTAGGGCAAATGAGGATGAAAAGGCTGATAGTGAACCACCAGGACACCCTGAACTCAAAGCACAGGAAGTAACAAAACAGATCAGTTAGGCTCTAGAGAAATTCAAAACAGAAATAATTTCCCAGATAGCCATAGAAATAGTGAGCAAAATGGAAGTCGAGATTCGAGACTCTAGAGCAGAAACTGACAAAAAAAATAGATGAGCTCAGGACCATGATAGAAGCCATGAAGGCCCAGCATAAGAAAGAAATGGAAACAATAAACGCCCAACATAGGAAAGAAATGGAATCCGTAAAACAGATT